TACCAATTGATTCGTCTCATTATTTTGTGCATAAAAGTATTAAGGTAACATTCTCTTCTAAATCCGACCGTGACCTCCACGCGATACATCTTGGGTAACGCTAACGCCGGCGGTACTTACATTTTGAAGACCCATAATTCAGAAAGATATCAACCAAAAAGGGTTTGTGACCAGTATTTCGAAAACGTCTTGTGACGCCAGCTATAAGAATATGCAATAAAAAATTAGGGTTTCCGTTTAAGAAAATTAAGGTCATCTTGATCTAACCTTAACGGCGCCGCCCAAGGTTAAATCAATGGTACCATCTTATATCCCCTCCGAACCATGCAACTTTTGTATGAAATATTTTTCTGCATCTCTCTTAGTTTTCGAGATATCCGCCTGAGGCGATTAAAATGCCCCCATCCTGTATATAGTTTTATATATTTCAGCTGCTATGGAAAAAATTGCTATTATAGAAGCGGAATTTGAAGAAATTTTAAAAACTTGGTTGAGACAAGCAAATCTCCCATCTACGAAAATGCGAAAAATAATGCAGTAAATAACATATATATATTTTTAATCAAATTTTGAGACTTTAAATTGTGATTTGATTTAATGTAATTTATTTTTATTATACTTATTTTTATTTATAATTTATTTTTATATTTATTTTACAATCTTATTTATAGAACTTCAAAATAATTAATTTTTATATAGTATAAAACTAGTAAAAATTAAATTCAAGACTAAAAATTATATTTATTTAAAATATAATTTTTCTTTTCTTCTTTATCATTAGCAAAAAAGTTAAAAAAATGTGTGTGTGTTTAAATGTTTCTTATAAAAAATGTTTAATTTAATAACATAAATAATATTCCATAATAAAAGATATGTTTATAGATACGAAATTGAATACTGATAGATTGAATATTATATTTTTATTGAGATTTGGTTAATTAAAAAAAGTATTCCTTTAGTATTATATTTCCATTAAAATTAAAATCTAAATAAAGTTAATATTAATATATAAAAATACTTGTTTAATATCACTTTGTTATATTATAAGAAATATATTTGTAATATTATAATATATCATATATTAAAAATGTCATATAATAAGTTTATTATATATTAATTAATACTGTAAGAAACTTATATTTATATAATAAATAAATAGAATATTAAATGAAGTATCTTAATGTTATCTATAAATACATCGCCATACAAATTATTACAGAAGCATAGAACATAGAATAACATACTGTTTAAGTACTATCTATAAAAAATGTTCATGACATCATTACCTAAAAGATATTTCTGTAATGTTTCATATAGGTTCGGAATACGGACATTAACTGTTTATACAATGTTTCTAAAATGTTTTTGCACGCATCTCCAAAACATTTCATGTTACAAAGTTGTTTCCGAAAATTATCTGATATGTTTTTTTACATAATGGACATGTTTAGAACAGTTTCTTCTTTAGTTTTCAATATCAATCGTATTTACATAAACGGACAAAAATTTCTTGTTTTGGCGTTTTTGAATCTCATATAAAAGAAAATTTTTTTCCTGGATCGGTGTTTGAATTCGGAAGTGATCTAACAGCATTCAAAAGAGACTTCAGATTGGGATATTTACTATTATTAATGGAGTATTGATGTAAAATTTGTTTCCACATATCATCAAAATTTAATTCTGAAAGGTTTCGTTTTTCTGCGGTTCTAAGATCTAGATATAAAGCATTCCATTCTTTCCTTAAACCAATTAGGTCAAAACCACCAAAGGTTTGAGCGATAAAAGAAACATCACTGAATGATGTTTTTCTGTCAGGATCATATAAAGCTATCTCTGCTTCGAAAACTTTTAATTTCGATAAAAATTTGTCATTAATTGGTAATCTTTTACTAATTTCCTCGGCAGCAGTTACGTAAAATTTTAAACAATTCTCTCGAACATTTTCAACAATGTCTATGTGTCCTTCCATCATCAATTTTTCTAGGTATTCTTCACATTCTGATCCGAAATTTACTTTATCTAAAGCTTTTTGATTCTCTTTTTGGGAAAATTGAATATTATTACATAAATGTTGTAAACACTTTTCTTTCAAAAAATATTTAGAGACTATAGTTAAAAACTCTACTGACTTTGGTTGCAATAAATGAATTTTTGTTTCTAGAGTTTGAAAAAATACATTAAATGAATTAAAACGTTTTAAAATATGTTTTAAAAATAATAAATATGCCTTTAAATCAAGACTTTCCACTAGAATTAATAAATCCTGCTGTTCTTCAGACTTTGTATCTCCATTTTTGACCATTTTAGTAAATAAAAACTTGACAATATCCCAAGACGCCAAAAGTTTTTTAAAGAATAAATAGTTAGAAAGCCACCATGTACCAGACAATTTTTTGTAATTTGTTTCCTGAAAACATTCATTAAATATTTTATAAATAATCGACTTTTTGGAACTATTGTAAATATAATTTGCGATCTCTTTTAAAAATTTTGTGCAATGCTTCGGTATGTTATCATATGCAGTATTCACAGCCAACGCAGTGGAATGGCATGGACATGAAAATGTTAACAAATTTTTACAAATTTCTTTCAGCTTTTTCTTAAATAGTAAATATTTGTCTGTTTCAATAGGCACACTGTTATATGATAAAGCAACAATATTTAAAAATGGAGTATTAAGTTTCGTCATTTCACATTGAAATATATAAAACAATTTTTCCTCAGACTTATTTTTTTCATCAATATTAATGAATTTTAGAAATTGCGAGCGGATATCTAGTGTTTCACGATCAACATACCGAACAAAAAACGTTATGTATTTTTCACGTAAAAAGTCAAACGTTTCGTCAATAAAAATTGAAAATTTTGTCTTTTGAATGCTGTTGATCACACGGTTCATGTCTATTGGATATAACACATTCATAATTATATTTTTACATTTTGTTTGATCCATACTCATACTTTTCAACACGCGATCTTCTGCTACTTGTTGAAAAAAACTGAGAATATCTTCTGAACATTGATATGGAATATTTTTATTACCGATCAATGCGGCAAAACGAATTTCTGCTGATCTTTTTCGCTCTTCAAATGTCGAAAGTGATTCATCGTTTTCCATCATATTATTTTCATTTATTTTCTTGGTTTCTTCAGACATCTGATTTTCTTCAGACATCTGATTTTCTTCAGACATCTGATTTTCTTCAGACATCTTAATGTGTGTTTGGGATTGTGCGTGATTATATATGTACGATAAGCCGTTAACCATCGTTTTTTTACAAAACAAGCAAAAAAATGAATTCACATCATTTGGCACTTCGCGTAGCCATGGCTTAAATTGCCTAATATCTAACCATTGTTGTTGAAATGGGGGTTTTCGAAATTTTCTTAGATTTGAACCATCGTTACTTGAATTTCTTTTATGGCCCTTAGAATTTGCATGCCTTAAAACGTTAGTATTGCACGAAATATCTTTATTACATATAATACAATGGAAAACACTATCATCATCTGATACTTTGCGTATCCAAGATTTCACTCTATCATTATTAAGCCAAGCTTCTGAAAAGCTTCTCTTTTGTTTTTTTTTTAATTGTTCACACATTTCCCTGTAGAACAAAAAATAAAAACAAAAAATTACAGAACAGAAAGAATAAAAAGTAAAAAAAAAGGAAATATATACCCAGATAGCAAAATATCTAGAATTCCTGCAGAACTGATTAATACAATTGAGAATATTGTTCAAAGATTGATTACAGAAGTATGTTCGCAAAACAGAGCAATTTTAGATCAATTCTAACTTGAAAATTAATGTTCTCAATTATTGCCTAATTCTACATTAATTGAGTTTAATATTTTTAGGTTGTGGAATCGTTAAATCAATTGTAATTCCATAATGGATCAATGCAATATAAGACATAGATCTCAATTCTGCATTAATTATAGGACAATTAAATAGAAAAACTGATTTTTTTTTAAATTATATATTTGCTTTCTAATTGCTTAATAAAAATAATTACACATGCTAAATTTATTTGCTCCGTTCTTCTCTGTCTCAGGTAAAATTATAAAGAACAATATTTTCAAAAAAATTAGAAATAATTATATGTTTAATAATCTACAAAATGTATTTCTTACAAATCTTATAAACCTTATAAACCTTAAAATATTAAACCTTTATTAAAAATTAAAACCTTAATTAAAAATTAAAACCTTTTAAGAACTCTTGTAAATAAAATTTATAACTTGTTTTAAGAACTCTTTAGAACAGTTTAATCGAAGCGACCAAACAGTGGAAAAAAAAACAAATGTCGCACCTAAATTTAATTAAAATACAACACATACATTCTTATAATAAAAAAAAGATGCTACAAACGATTATTTTTTGTTGTGCCCTTTCAAGTTAGAACTACTAGTAAAGGAATTCTATTTCTCAAAACTGACTCTCATACCAATACATACATGTGATACATACATCTGATTCTTTCATTCAGCAGTCCAGCTATTCAACGTCATAGTCTGCCTGTCTGCTTTCTTGAGTGAACACTGCAAGGCGACAATCGGGTGCTGGTAACCATAATAACATTCCTCTTCAAATTGATGAAAAAAATTGTCCTTTTTTTATAACATTGTTCTTGTATATTACTAATTATCTTGAGTGAAGTATTAGGAATTTATCCAATATCGTCTTGTACTGTATTAAGATTCCACTGTTGAAGGTGAATATTTTCATATCGTAGTTTCCTGTTATTACTGCAGTCACACAATTTTGAAATTTCCTCTCATTTAGAGCTGAATAATATACATTTTCTGACAGGGCTTCTGCAACAAATAAAAAATTTTATTTATCAAAAAACCATATTAAACAATTTTGAACAATCTCACATAGCACAAAACATCCTGAAAATATCTTAAAGATATCCCCAAGATGTGTTGTGCTATCTGGAAATGTTAGGACTCTATCAAATAGTAATGTTAAATCTTAATATAAAATGCCTCACATAATTTTGTGTGACGTATCGTTCTAACAGCTCCAACTACTTGTTTGAATTAGAGTTAGATTCAGCCACAGAAATTATCACATCACCCACATCTCCAATATCACATGTACTTGCTGAATTAAAACTTGTACTTTGAGAATGTTCAGAGATTAATGCAGATTCAATAAAAGAATGGAAAAATTCTGAAAAAATAGTAATACATTAAAAATTAATAAGATTCTTAATAATAAAAATCAAATTTTATAAAAAGGGATTAATGAGTCAATGCTAGATGTTCGTGCAAATATATATTTACCAAATAAACTTTATTTAAATAACAAAATAAAATTATTTGCTAAATATATATTTGTACGAACATCTAGCATTGACTCATTAGCCCTTTTTTATAGAAATTTGTAATATATGTTTAAATTAGAATTATTTGAAGAAGTAGAATCAACGTGAAGTGCAATAAAAATATCGATATGAAAACTTGGTGTTATATAGAAATATATCTATTACAGATTATTAAAACTTTAATTCTTAATCTTAGCTATTTGAAATTATTAATAAAAAATGTCGGAAAAAATTTACTCACCACACGTCACATGGAAGAAACCGACTCGCCAGAATCTTGCACTCTAGCTGCAAAACAAGACAGGCAAGATTTGAACCACGAGGATACCCACGAGAACTTGTAACTCGGATTCGACAATGGAAGAACAATAAAAAATGGATGCGAAGAGCGTCGCTTGGTTAACAACACTTGAAGTAATTTGATACCAATGTCTATTAAGCCTGTATCAGACTACGCATTGAAGATTGAGATTGAAGTTTGACCAATCAGAACAAAAAACTTTTAGTTTCTTTTGTTTCGTTTGGTTAAATTTCAATCTTTAATCTTCAATGTGTAGTCTGATATGGGCTTAACTGGATATGAAATACACTAGCACTCGCGGCACAGAGACTTGTGACCAATAGAACATCGGAAAATCTATAGTTCATGTCACGTACACTATAGATTTTCAGCACTTTAATGCGCATCATGCATGAAACGGAACGCATCCTATACAACATAACTGGAATACCATAGCTTAATGGCCCAGATGCCGCTGCTCTCTCTTTTCACTTTTACTAGTGGGTTTCTGAGTTGCCTTGTATGCTTCTTCTATCTTTTCGCTTCCGGTTCTGCGCGAAATTGTATTCTACTTATTTATAATGGTAAGATTTCATCGAAATTTACACGCGAAATCTCGTTGAAATGTACAAGCTGTCCATTACCGAGCAAATATTATTGTCTTCGAGTAATTCTTGTCAAATTTATTTGATAGCAAAAAGTTAATTTCACGTGACTAAATAGAGAATCTAACCTTAGAAAGAGGTTATGTTTTGGAGGCAGTTTTATGTGTATTCCCTGATCTATAAAATTATTAAAGTTATTTAGGATAGATATTGTAATATTGCTTGAAATTTTTAATAGGCCAAGCGCACGAAGAAGGTTGGAATTACTGGTAAATATGGAACCCGTTATGGCGCGTCCCTTAGAAAAATGGTTAAGAAGATGGAAATCACACAACACAGCAAGTACACTTGCTCATTTTGTGGCAAGGTAAATAATTTTTTCATCCTATTATCTTATAAGTATTATAAGGACTGAAAAGAGAAAGTCAATGTTTTATTTGACATTTTCTAAAATTGAGATGTCAGTGTAATAAATGTGTGCTTTGTATTTCAACATGAGTAAAAATTTGTACAAATATTTGGCAAAACGATATATAGTTGAAGTCTAAGAAAAATTAATATTGACTTGTGTTGCTTTCATTTTTGACAGGAGGCGATGAAACGCAGTGTTGTAGGAATCTGGTCATGCAAACGTTGCAAAAGGACAGTTGCTGGTGGTGCATGGGTATATTCTACCACAGCTGCCGCTTCAGTAAGATCAGCAGTGCGGCGATTACGTGAAGTTAAAGAACAGTAAATGTATGTAATAAATATCTTTTGAACAATTTACTGTGATTTTATTTAATACCAATTTATTTTTTTAATTACTTTTCATAACTGATACCAATGATACCAATACCTGCATATTTAATATTAATAATTTAAAGCAATTTCTAATAGATTCATGCAACTACAATGATAAATATATAATTTCATTAGAGTAATAAAGGAAATTATATTTATTAAACTCGTACTACTTGTAGTAAAAACATATTTTTCATTATTTTTTATTGGTCATAATAATTAATCGTAACAAAAATTGCTTAATGATAGATCCTGAAATTATTATTATTGTGTTTATTGAACAAGAATCTTTATAAGTGTCGAAATAATACCAACATTTTTGTACGTAATGAAACTAATTGTTTATTCTAACAAGATGTTATTTTATTGATCGTGGTTATTTTATAAGGTTGTATAGAATATTCTTATATGATACAATTTGAACAGCTATAAGTAGATTACTTTAAAAACATCTTTCTTTTACTCAATCTTAATTACATTTTGAAAAAAACCAACTAAAATTGGATTCAAATATCGTCAATGTATGTATATTTATTTTTGCAAATTTTATCTACTTTAAAAATGTTTTAAATCATTATGCTAGTATTATAGAGAGACATGTACTATATAAACTTAATAAAGTTACAAATAATTTTATTGTCTTCAAAAGATCGCGCTTACGCAGTTCAGGCTATTACAACAATCGAAACTATTCTTCTTTCGCATCATCATAATAGATTGAACTGTGAAGCTAGACATCATTGTTCGTTGAGCAAATGATTAAAATGGAAATAGATCATTAGCAATTTTATTCGTTAATAGTAATATTTGTCGTAAAGTGAAATCAAGTGTGAAATTAGCTCGCAAGGAATGACGTATTTGCAAGAAGGTACTATAATAGAATATAATTTTTTTTCGATCGCGATCGAACATTTTATCACTCGTCGCTGAAGTAGACTAATACATCACTTATTTCAACATATAATTCAATTTGTATTCTATACAAAAATAAATACCACAGTCTTAAAAGACAAATGTATTAAGCTATTAACGTTGCACCATCACCAAATAACGTTTTCTTTTAGATTACATAAGAATATAATGAGTATATTCGTCAATAGCATTTACAAGGGAAGAACATAAAACATTTCACGAGAGTACGAACAAACTTTCAGAAGTTCGTTTCCAATAAAAGATTTCGGTATCTCTGACATCGAGCAAAAGATGTATCTTTCGCAACTATTGAAAAGATAAGAAAAGCGGTCAATTGTAACTCATGATGTCAAAGACGGAAGATGCTAGGATTCGAAATAGAGATGATTTCATGCAGTTAATCTTTTGTATGATGATTATTTTTTTTCTTTTTTTTTTTCCTTTAAATTAATGATATACTTTCATTAAATTTATTTCTTAAGTTATAAAGTGGTAGTGCTATGAGCGTCGCACTCAAAAGTTATTCTCTTTAAAGCGATTCACCGCGTAATTTTTCATCATATGGCTATTTGCAGATTAAACATTCGTCAAAGAAACGATTAACAAATAACTCGCAAATGCGCGCGCGATGACTGATCACGCTAAGAAAATATTCATCCGCTATTGTTAAAATATGGAAGACATTCTGTATATCTAGAAATTGCGTTATGTCTCCATAAACGAACAACAATTAATAATCGCATGCATCTAACTAAAACTTGATGAATGTAGTTCTATATTGCTAAATTCTGATATAATAAATTCTGATAAGTACATCCTTTGCACGAAACAATGCGTAATAGTTAAATTATACAAACGATATGCAACGAGGAACTATCGGAAACACGAATGAATATAAAAAGGTCCAGTGCTCTTCCCTAATTATTAAATGGTACAATAATAATTTCTATATTATTATTGGTAGAGCGTCACATCGATTTTTCACTAGCATTCTTTTCATTCATTCCGTTATTTCGCGACAAATTTCTATTATATTCACATTTCATCATTACGCACCGATCTAATGGGCAGTCATCCGTCATTACATTCATCCGAAATTATCAAATATGTCTCTCTCTTTCTCTCTCTCTCTTGTATTAACAATTATTTTATTTATAACAGTGGTCTGATATGATTTCTTCTCTACAGGTTCTTAACCAGGAAAGAAGAAAAAAAGTTCACTCTGTCATTTAGTATCACTTATGTTCACACGCGGCCAGAGAAATGCATCCCTGTCACTCTTGTGCATTGATCAAGGCGTACCATAAGAACCGTAATACAAGGGAATGGCAGTAAATTCTCGATACTGCTATAGTAAATAAATCCTATAGAATCAAATCAGTTAACTACGAATCTCGTCTCCTCGCGCACTGTCAATTCCATTTTGACGCACGTTTGAAACACGATTAGGCGTGATACTGATTCCTCTCTGCCACTGCTTGCAATACTCCATCCTCTCTTTTTTTTTTTATATAACGCACACTTGGGAAGTAGCTGGCGAACAGTCGGTTACCGTTCATTAAATATATTAACAAATATTGTGTACAGATCTTGCGATTTGTATTAGCTGGCTTGCCACTTGAATTTGCTACGCATGATCCATTTTTGGCCGACATTGTTGACGTCACACTGCGCCAAGACGGGTTGCGACGCGTCGCCCGAATGGGGTTTTGACAAACAGTAACCCGTGTTTGTGTGCTTAATCATTTTGGTCTGAAAGTGTATCAGTCGCATTAATGAAAAATACTTCTCACTTAATAATTTCGTGCGATAATTATTTGTTCTTCCAATATGCTCTCTCACCTCATCATTATAAACCCACGCTTGATTACCACCCATGCCATGACATCGTACGATCTTCACAGGACCTTGTGGACTAGCTGCATCAAGGCACATATCATCGGACATTATCTGTTGCCGCTTAGTGTAAGCAAATACCTGGATAACATGCGGTTTACGTCAGAAATAATGTAGCATTCTAACGCATTCTAAGTAGAAACGATATCTCGATTTTCACCAAATGTGTGAGATGATTTGCGAAAGACAGACACAAACCTGATTGCCACCTAATCCATGACAATAACTAATTCCAACGTTTTCCCCGGTCCTCCTGCCCATAGTATCCAAACAGGTTTGCGTTTCGACATTCTTCACATCGCCAAGGTAGTAATAATCTAGTGGCATTGGCGATTCCGGATATATGTTCTCCAAGTACCATCTGAAGCTTTTGCACTTCAATCGGTCTCTGAGCTTTATTCGCTCGGACACGTCGCCGACGTCGACGTTTCGCGCTCCTACAAAAAAAAAAAACAATAGATTTTCCGTAACGCCAATAATATAATTTACAAAAGAGATTTATTCACACATATTTTCATATATTGTGCTTGCATGTAAATTGAAATTGAAAAGAAGAATTTGCTAGAATTTTGTGCTAAACTAAAGAAACTTTTGCCATCTGTATTGTATAATACATTAATTGCCATATGCTTGCTCCTAAAAAATAACTGTGCAACGTTTTTTTTCTGGAAATCTGAAAGGTGTAAATTTTACTTTACACCTTTCAAATTCTATATATTTATGAACTAACGTTGATTTACATATGTAATAATTGTCCTGCATATCTGCAAATGTAGCATGCAGAAATGTATTTTGTGCTTCATCAAAATTGTTTGAGCAACTACATCGTGAATGAGAAAAGTAAACTATACATGTACGCTTCACATTATATGCTCGTAACTCGAATACCACGAACCTTATTATTTATTTCTTACTCCAAGTATATCTCTAAACATTTCATTTGCATAATTGCTCTTATCTATTCGTGTATGTTGTACTTACTATTACCCAACGGACTATCAAGTAACAACATTACAGTTGAATGTAACAGCAATGCTGCTTTAAACGAGTGTTAACGGGTATCTGATAGAGACAGTGAGTACCCAAAGCCGTGATAAAACCAATAACAGAAATAATTGATCCAGATAGACATGCGGACTTCCCAAAATCACAGAAGCATGCTGTATAGCAAAGCGATCGATGCATAAGTATTGAGGGATTCAGCGATAGATTATTATGATTTTTTTTTTTTTGTTTTTTTGTAAGATACGCCAGTGTGTTAGTGCTACCTGGATTAATGTTGTAATAGAAGTACTTCCATTGGTCCAACCAAACTTCTGCGAGCCGCGCATTGTTGTGGTTGACTATCTTGCTCGTACCGCCCGGGAAGGTATACGGAGTTGACTTACGGAATACATGACCGACGTGCGAGCACGTCGCAATTTCCAATGTCCCACCACACATCCATATCTAACCAACTCAGTTCTGTTAGTGTGTTAGCAGTTACGATAGCTAGTAAGTAACAAGACAAGTTAAAAAAAAAAAAAGGAGGAACAGTAACACATAGCAAATGTCACATTCTGCGCCTCCGTGGTGGAGATTTAGAACTCTTCCTGCGGCACCTATAATGTAGCTTGATAAAAGGAATCGATTAAAAGCAAGCGCAATTTTTTTTTTTTTTCAATTGGTTAGTCGGCTGGATGGATGAGTGGTTAAGACTACACCAGCATTTGTATCGAGAGCGACAAAACTGTCTTCGGAGTGTCCAGGTTCAGTGCCTGCTGCTATTCCTGATTCGCGCATTGCGCAAACTGTCGATTTACTAGTCGATCGAAGAGACGAACGTGTGAGCGGGATGAAAAGTATCTTGAGCAATCACATATAGATTCTACTGGGGATGATTTCTATAGTTAGAGATCTCGGTTTCAAGATATTAGCAACTCTTAATGTACGCAACTACTGGTGTTATGTACGAAATATTAGTAAATACACACATATAATGTGCATGACACATATAGAAGACAATTATAACTAATTTATGGTATTAAAAATTATTTGATAAAAATATATATATTAATGCAAGAGTGTTATTAATCATTAGTCAAATGGAGAAACAACTTGTTAACGAGGAAATGATGCATTCAAAAACAACTGCAGCTCACAATAGCTATAAGTATATGAATCACAATAATTCAACGAGATATATAATATAAACGGCTTGTATCAGATACCCGTCAAGTATAATGTAATTTGGCTTGTGTGATACTGCAATTTATGATTCATTAAACAACATTATTGATTTCGATATAAGCGCTACATGAACACCAGCTATATGAAAATGTCGGAACGTTAATAATACTCGTCATGAAATAAATCTCTCTTATTTCGATACAAATAAATTTCTCCATATCTTTACGTGAATTCCATCAAATGTATATGTTTAAAATTTTGAAAGATGAAGATTTGCGTAAGCATATTCAAGAGTTCTGACGTTACTCCACATATGAGATACGTTTAGTCGATGTGCATAATGATGGCATCATTTAGCGCAATTTGAATGAAACATTGTAAAAATTGATTAAACGATACACTTGATTATCTAACCTGGATTCATGGCATAGTAAAAATCTCTCCACTCATCCATCCAGACCTCGGCCACCCTGGCCGCATTGTGCAGGACTATCTTGCTCACACCACCAGGGAATGTATACGGACTTTTATCTCGGAACACATGTCCCACATGTGAGCACGGGCTGATTTCTAATGTTCCGCCACATTGCCACACCTACAAGGAACTTATTACTTCACAAATGACAACGAAAGTGTTTATGCAGGGATGCCCTTTGAAAATCCTTTAAAACTCTTCATTAAATATGTGACAAATCATGTGTTACACGATAATTATTTATACAGGATGAAGGGGCAAATAAATGTTAAAAATAATTTATTTCTTATAATGAGCAAAATCAAGAAATTCTACGAATTAATTTACATGTAATTAATATATTAGCATACAAAATCAGCAGTTTTTCAAGAAATATTTTGATCTTATTTTTTTCAAACTTAAAAATAATATTGTTTATTTTAAATTGGATTATGAGTTTGCTCCATATAAGCAATAATGGACGCTATTTAAAATTTTCGGAACTAATTGCGTCAAATTGAAAATCTTGTTTTACTTCTTTCGCATCTGAAGACTCACCCGGAAGCTCATTTCAAGATTTTCGCCACCCCAGATGTCCATGCCTTCGTCATATGCGCCCAACTCATAAAAATAGTCCTTATCAATGGAAAACAATCCACCGGCCATTGTTGGTGTTCGTAGCGGCGCCGTTCTATCGCTGTTTCTTCTGTCCATTTCTCTTTGCGCAACCCTATACCTTATTGGGCGAAATTAATAGAGCATTAGAATCTGTTTGAAAGATCTATTTACATAGTTTACATACCATAAATGCATGCAACGTTATATAATTTAGAATATTGTTAACACGCTTTATTTCGCGCAAAATTAATTAAAGATAAGTCGAATTTAATAATTAAACCATAGTAAATATGTTACGGGAACCACAAATTTGCAAACAATCAACACTTTGCAAATGTATTGTACGTATGAAGGAGAGAACACCTATTATTGATCGTATTTCAAGCCATCGTATGCAAATAGAATTGAATTAGAATGTGAATTTATGAATTTATGAACGTATCAGCTTGAAAATCGCTGAATTTATGAATCTAATAATTCAACAAAGCTATGAATATCGGTTTGGATCGATTAAGTATTTCGCGCAACCTTAACGACACATCAATCTAACTATTTACGGCATGCAAAATTCACGCGCATAGATTTATGCATTTGCAATTCAAATTCCCGTCGCTTTTTTCTCAGAAAAGTAAGATGTCGAACTAATTTGGTTAAAAACATAAATTTTAAAATCAACAAAAGATACTTAATATCATATTATAATGTTGCAGTACCATCTGAAGTTTAATTTCCAATTGAAACCTCCCCATGTCATGTCGCTGGCTGGGATGTATTCGAAGGTGTCGTCGCTAATTACGTCTATGATCGGGCAGACAACGGTGTGTCTGTCGTTCGCAATTCTTGAGAGCAGCGGCTCCAGCCAACCCTCGGTGCACTCGCAATGCGCATCGAGAAATGTAATTACTTGTCCTTTGACGTGTTTCGCCCCTAGAAGTCTCGCTCTTATCAGTCCTGATCTCTTTTCGGTGCGATACACGTACGTGGGAACAGGTAACGTGGTTATATAGTCCTCCAAGTCTTGCTTTAGATGCTCTGCAGAATAATTTCACTCGTAAAATTTCCACACGTGAAGATAAATTGTTTATATGTACATATATTTCTTCCGTTTATAAATTACGTTATTAACACAATGCACAGGTGATTTACGAAATGAATATATAATACAAATGAAAAAAAATCGATTCATCAAGCGTGAAACATGATGAAACGTACCACGCTCACTCGCGTCGTCCACGAGGATGATTTCCTTCAGCAACGATCTGGGAGACCTGTTTATCACGGACCAGACCGTCCTCAGCAGAGTGGTCCACGCCTCGTTATGGAAAACTATCTCGATACTCGTGTCTGGAAGATACTTGGAATACTTCTTATTCTTGCAGCCCTCGAGTCTGATGTCCTTGAGGGATCGGTTCAAGGAGATCATGTCGCTGGCCATCAGGTTGAACTGATTCAGCTTGAACAGCTCCTGCTGCTTGACCTCGTTCTCCGGCGGGATGTGCACCGCCGCCCCCATCTCGCCGGGGCTGCCCTTACTCTCTTTCACGACCTTCGCCGGTCGCCACAAGTGCAGCTTGGACTGCAGGTACTGTCTCTTGTTGCTGTACTCGTGCCGCAGCGGTTGCGCGTCCTTGGTCTGCAGTTTCGAGTGAAGCTGGGGCGGCTCCTCGGACTGCTGCGGCACTTGCTGCTGCTTGTTATCTGAGCAGCCCCATCCGGACCCTCCGATGCAATCCGAATAGAGCATGAGCACCATGACGTCGACGAGGAACCATACCAGCGACGTCAGCAGTATCACTTGACACGTATGAATGCGAATCTTGGAGCGGAACATCTTTCAACGGCGGCAGTCTTCCGCTTGTACCACGAGCTCATCACCCAGTCCGGTCTCCGATGCGTCAGAGCCCCGATAAGATTTTAGAACGAGATTTCACGGAAATATTCACCGAATTCTCAATGCTTTTAAGAGACAGACCTTCGTAGAATTACATGACTGGTTTTCAGCGCTGCAACAGAAAGAAGCTGGGTTTATTATGGATTCTCAATGCCCGCCACGCGGCTGTATGAAAGAGCGAGCGAGGAGGAGAGAGAGAGAGAGAGAGAGAGAAAGAACGTTCTTATCGCCGTGAATTCCCGGCTGATGTTAAAAGGTTGCCCGGGGAGATGCAACCAGAATTCTTTCGGCAGATCGATCGTTCGCTTCAACTTTACGCACGCTTATCACGATTCTACGAATCACGGAGATAGATAGAAAACCCCTCTTTCTCCGTATACATAGAATTGTGTTAACTAAGACGGAATTATACGACACAGCTTGCTTACATAGTCGTGCGAACTCAGGCAGAATTGTGATGAATGTGACTTGTAGAAAGGTAACTGTAGCCCAGCTACAGGAACTGCGAGAGCGAAAACATGTAAATCAGCCACTTTTCTAAATGACACTTAGTTATTATAAAAATCTAAAGAAAATATTCCTCACGATCGTTCAAAATGTAGAACCTTCATCGATATAAAGTTAATTTAAGAACTGCTTTGTTAAAAAAATAACATTTAATTCACTGAACTAAATATTATATATCTTTTGGGACAAAAATGCTGAGAAAAAAATACTCTTCGCACTCGTTTTGCATTATTTGACACTTTACAGCGCCATTATCACATTATTTACCACACTTCACGCTTCGATGTTTAGAACGTTTATCAGCACAAAATCAATTTTTACTACTTTATATTCCTTCGTACATATGGGCTGTTCGATGTGAGTGTTTCTGATCGCTTTTGAATTGGTTTTGAACGCTCAATTGTTGCGTAAGGTACGATCATTGTAAGAATGAACACGCGAGCAGCTTGCGCGAGCGAAAAAAATGCATACGCGGCCAAGGGTAACCGGAGCAGAGAGAGTTTGCGACACTTAGACATTTAACACGTGACTAATTCATACGACGCACACATCGATCGCGGGGAGAGTGTCATTTTAAACCGAATTCCGTGCCTCTCTGCACCGATGCGCAAGTTTCACGTCAGCCTTTCTACAATAGAACCGGCAATATAATGACACGCGACTTGTGCATACGCGCTCGTGAGCGCTTGTACGCGAATATAATTCCTGCCCGCGCGCGCGCGCGCGAATCAGATAATAGTCGTAACGCGATAAATTCGCTTCTGCATCCGTATTGGTATGCTTTTATCACATCACGTCGCGTGTAAATCGCTATCTGCCGTCTCTACCGTCGTACAAGCGTATCGCGCTGCGAGCTGCGCCAGTAACTCGCAGCTTTATGCAGAAAAGTGCATTGGCGGGATTATTGGAAACAGATACACATTACCGGACAAGTTTATCTCGTGTCCTATCGACGCCAGTGACGACATGCTATTTGTATATCTCTTAATGAAAGGTCAGCTTAAACGAGGAATAGTCGTAATAATTTTCGCGATTTCAAACAAACGCGCCAATTGTCGACGCTACGAGGCGTTATATTTTTTCAACAGCCCCGACACGGCAAGCTTGACTTTTATTTCTGATACCGCCGACTGCAATCGATGTCGGCTATAAATTGTAACGAAGAAAAATGATTAATAACAAAATGTTTTAAAGACGCGACGGAAATACGCGGGTAATTATCCCACGCAGCCAGTGAGGCCGGCTCTGCCTGGGAAATTATATCGTGATGAGACAACAGCGCTCCCGATGGTACTAATTAATTAGCGACTGCTAAATAATTCACTTTCATCACGATAACAAGCGGGAAATGGCAGTAATAATGTCGGATGACTATGCGCGACCCAAAGAACGACATTTTCTGGTTGCGCTGCACGGACTTTCTATTATAAAAAAAAAAAGTAGTCGGAGGCAGATTCCCAGCGCGGTCGTGCGCGTTTTGCATACAATATGCCGGCAGTTTCAGAGTATAAAAAAAATAACGTAAAATTTTGATTGTCGTATTTAATTTGGAATTTTTTATTTTGGAATTGCAATCATCAAAACAATGAAATATAATATATTTATTCGAGCAATACGCGAAAAAAAAAAATTAGAAAGTTTAGACTAAATTCGAAACTTGACGTTAAATTTTTTTTACGTTGCAGAGAATCACACAGCGATAAACATTGTAATAAGCAATGTGGTAATGCTAGGCATCACGTATATTCTTTTCGTTTAATCTCTATTTCTGCGTTTCCACTTTTTCATCATTTCTTCCCAGAGAAGTACGGTAAATTCTCTATGAAACACTTCGCAGTTAGCGATAATAAATGGCATAAAGAAATTGGTGGTTTACGATTCTGACAGACTGTTACAATAATTTTCAACTATCAGTCTAATAATCGGGCGATAACGCTGGTACTATTAGTAAAATTGCATGCAAATGACTGATAAATCAATACTGCGGCACGTAAATATCATTAAGACAAAATGTTTTTCTGTGACCGACGTCGTCGGAGCCTTTTACGATAAGGTGATGGATTGCACATTTGTAATTGAAATACGCGAAATGCACGTTAACGTGTGTTATTTCGATTATTTTAGTATCGTATTAGCGAAACTGCGTTCTACGAGATAGATTTCTGCAGCAGAGGTAATCTTTCGAAGCGGAAGATGAATCGATATCCTGTCAATACGCGTCAGTTAATTCGCGTCGATACCGAGTTAAAAATAAAAGTTTGAAATTTTTTTCATCTAATCTTAATTCAACTTCTGACCCCGATCGACGAATCTGTCATTAAAGACAGTGTCAGCGGTTCTGCGATACTTCATTATACTGTTTCTTTAATCAATTTGTAGGGAAGCTCCCTTTTTTAATTATTTGATTATTAATTATTTTACTACTTCGGCAATCCGTACGGCAGAAATTAGTTCGATAATTAATTCGGTAATGTAATTAGTGAGCTTAATCTTCTGTTCGTTGCGAGAATATTCTTGTGTAGATTTAGCACTTTATTTTCGGAACTCCGAAAGAGATTGTGCAATCAATAAAATCCTGGTTTTCCACAAAGTATTCTAGAATTTCTGATAAAATCCGAAAAAGATTCTAGCAATTAAACGGTGGAAAGAAAAATAAAAAAAGTTCTAATAATGTTTCAGTATTTGGCTGAAAATTTTCCAAATTCTAATGGATTACAAAATCATATCGTGCAATTTTTATATTTTATTTCTGTAGATTTATTGAATTTTTTCGCTGTTGTGCAGAAATATGAATTTTTTTAGAGTTCTTGATAATATCTAAAAAAATTCTTTGAATAGAATTATACAATTCAATCTTAAATAAAATAAATAAGATAAAATGAGAAAAAGTTATTACCAATTTTTGTAGCTTTAGAACTTCGAAATCCTGAAAGCTTCAAATAGATATTTTCAACATGTATGTAATTATTTCTAACAAAATAAAAGCTTTTCAACGTTCCTCACCGCGTAATCAAATTTGAGTTCTATTCAGCATTCTTCGATGGAGAATTGTCGTAATCGAAGTGCTTGAAAGTCCGCCAATATCACATTGACGCAATGCGACGCCAGGTAATGTCATTAAGAAAAAGTCTTCCTGTACAATAGACAGCTATGAAAGCTAAGCCCCTATCTTGTTATCCGCCGCAAAAAGCCCTAAAACTCTGCAATAGCTCAAATTGTGTAACAACTTCCTTGAAAAACTTCCAGATTAAATATGAAAATATATTTCTTACATTTTGAACCATTTGCATTCTGATCATTCGTGGGATAAATTTAGTTTTTAATGTAAACATAAAAGTACAAGATTAAAATTTACAATTCAGATAACGGCTTTGTAATGATTTCACGTTTATTAGGTATATCAAGTGTGCATGTTTAATTCATGTTTCTTTATAAAGCTACAATAACCTTCTTCATCATTGTTATGTATATAAAATATGAACGCAGAATTAATATGTCAAGTGTAGCAACTCTTGTTATAATATTTATTATACTAAACTGCGAGGATAAACTCGGGCAGAAAAAGAATTTATTATTCAAAATTTATTATCGAATTTCGGTTGAGTCTATTTCAAGCTGGTTTTCCTTAGAAGATTATTTCAACTGGACGTATAAATTAATTTAATGTCAGACGTTTAAAATTCGAAAATATTCATAAAATTTAGTCTGACATGAAGCTGCCTTTTATCTCTGTCAAGGATAACATATATAGCGGTGTCTTAAACGCTACAACGCCTCGAGGGATCAATCTGAGCTCTTAACAAGGAAAATTAACCAAACTAATCACATGGGAAGGGCTGAGCTCAATATTAACGTAATACACGCCGCAACCTAAAATTATGAAACTTATAATTACATAATACACACAAGTTGTATGTCATATCTACGTCAATTTAACTTGTAGTTCATGAGAGATAAATAACTGAAAGAGCATCCCGTAATATTTAATCGTGAAACTCGAGGAACAAAACAAACAATGACTGTTCATTGCTAAATTGTACAAAGCGTAGTCGCCTAAATATTTTTATGTCAATTAAATTACTTTCTTTTAAGAGTTTTTTTTTCATCCTTACTTTTTTTTCGCTTTCTATATAACGAACGTAATAATCTCTATGCACATTCCATTCGAAGAAGGATCCATTAAGAACCGGTTTCTTGGATGCCTTCGAACCGCTTTGCACCAGTTATTTAACCAAATATCAAAATAAGAATGTAGAAAGAATATAGAAATAAACCGTTGTATTGTTGCATATCGCTAATAAGGCACATGTAAATTGCGACATTATCGGCTACTTAAAATGGGGTCACTTTTTGTGTCACATCTGTAACAAAGATCTGTCTAATGATAGATGATAATTCTTTTAAAATTGATATAACACTCCGTGACATTATGATAATGGCACAGATGGAAATTGTAAAACAACAGGAATAAAATAATAGAAACAGTATGTTTTCCAGTAAAAGACACAAGTTGACACAAATCGACACAAGTATCACTCTGTCTTTGTTCGATATTCAATGAGCAACAGAGAAAATAATACTTTTGTGTCGCTTGTGTCTCTTGGT